TCGTATTCGGAATGAGCTTAACTCCTTAACGCTTACGACCTAAGCCACCACAAAAGTGGAAACGCGGCCACTTAGCCACCGTTTTATTGTTATCCTTTGCTCAATAAGCAATTACTCACGCAACGCACATACATAAGTTAGAAAAATTGCCTATTAAATGTTTATTTTATTATGAATTCTGGGGTTTTTACCGGTAATGCAGATTTTTAATTCAGAAGGCTTTTCATAATTATAAATTTTGTCATATCATAGAAATTGAAAACATAAATCTAAATAGGTATGCGCAACGATTTTTTATTTAGGAATATTTGTTGTGTCTATTTGTAGCTTTTCGCACATTGCGTGTTGTATTTTTCTTTTTCAAAGTTATATTTTTCGATGTTCCCTCATGTAGAATTACAAATTAGTACACAAAAAGATTTCATTTAACATTTACTCCTTCTCTATTCATTTACGTTCTCTGATAAAACAAATCTTACAGCGCACTCTGTGATAATTTCTTTGCACAACAATGTGGCGCGTCCTCTAGCGTCAAAATGTTTCAACTGCCAAGTAATTTGGACAGCAGTTGCCGCGAATACTATTTAATTTGCATTCGAAATTTGGATCTATTCAAAGCGGTAAGAGGCGTGAAATCACCATAATACCGCAAAGTTTAGTAATGTGAGAAACTTAGATTAGAATACATAAGAAAATAATTTCAATAGTGCTTAAGTGTTCTAAATATTAGAATAACTGGTTAGAAAGTGTCCTCTTTATAACCAAAAATTTATTATGTTTCTATATTACTTCCTCACAATATTAATCACGGCAAAGAGCAAATGCAAAAATCCAAATATCTGTGGTTTTATTTGATTTTTCATGGAAGTGTGTGTGTACATATACATACTTTTCCACTGTAATTCGACTAAGACATTTTTCGATATATTGGGTTAAACGGTGAATCCTCAGTATGCAATTCCCAGCAAAGTGTTCATTCTGGCACCCCTCTGTTAAAGTATGAATTGTTACGCAAAGCGAGGAAAGTTGAAAGCTGAGCACTTATCACAAATTTTCTTACACTAACTTTGCAAATCCTAAATAAATTGGTTTGATTGATGAAAATTTCACATAACATTCCTCAACATGTTTACACAGACTGCTCGGTTCATGATGCCATCGATTAAATGTATAGGACCGCCACCATCGTAATCACCAAACTCGTTCTATAATGCTGAGATAAACGTGTTGGACCTTATTGGTAATATACGATGGTATTCTGCATATTTTGGCGAACGGGCTGATGTCCTGGACCGTGTTTCTCCAAATAAACTAATATTGTTTTAGTCAATCCTCAGCACACTCTGTCATTTTGTTTTTGCGAACTTTATTCTTGCAGCCACATACTCGTACACGCTCATCACAACAGGTACCCGCTGGGAGCTCCCCGCCTTCAAATTGCTTTCAATTAATCTCCTACGAATGGTAAGACTACTAACAGACAGGTTTAAATCATTTCTTAACGTCTTTGAGGATGCTGAGGGCTTGTTTTTTGTATATCGCATAATCTCATTTTGCATTTCTCCCACGTTTCTCCGCTTTCTCATTTCTCATTTTGTAGCGTTACATATCATTGTGGAACTGAATCCTACTATAGCTCGATTTCCTTCTAGGGTTTGTCTTGCTTCCTTAACTTCACTATCAATTCATGTTTCTTGATTGAAAAATGTCGTCCTCGACCCACCAAAAAGAAAAGAGCATCCAGACTTCAACGTTGTTTTCCTTTTATAAAAATTTGTGTACGAAAACCACAAGAATACCAATTTATACAAGAATCCCTATTTGTATATAAGGTTTAGTCACACTTATGTATAAGGTTAGTAAAATTTTAAATTAGCCAATTGAAAGTTTAGCCCCCCTCAGCATTTTTATGATCTTGCAACATGTTGCTACAGACTATAATAGTTTTGTTAACTTAACAATTATTGTTCGAGATAGATATTGGTTTATATACTTGTATATATACACACATAAATGATCAATATTATGAGACGAGTTGAAATCCGTCCGTCCGTCTGCACAAGCTGTAGCCTGAGTATCTTGATGAAGTTGGTATTGCGAATGGGCGTAATCGGATCATTGCCACGCCCACAAAATTCCACTAATCAAAAAGTTATAAAGTGCTATAACTAAACTCAAAATAAGATACATGACTGTTATTTGGTACAACGAATTGCATTAGGAAGAGGCATCTAAAAGCTCAAAAAATATATAATCGTTTTGTTAAAAAATACTAAAAGTGCAATAAATTAATAAATAAATGAGTATTTGACCTTCTTAATCAATTTAAATCAAATTCAGTGCATATTATTATGCTAATGTTCCTATGTTACAGTGCAAAAATTAGTGAAATCGCTTACTTCCCATATAACACAACTTTAAATTCCATCTGATTATTTCACTTTTCAGCATATAAAACAAGCAGCAATGATTTTATCGAGACTTTGCACGAATAGTGCCTTTAATATGTGCCACCTTATGTCCAAAAAATCTTCGTTATTCAAACAAACGTTATGCGGAATATCTCGTCAGCTTTTTCAAGAACTCCTGAGCAATGTCAAAAGTTAGTGCAATCAGTCCGGACCTTTCTTAAAAATTATGTGATTTTGCGCTGAAATTAAATGAAATTGGTCTAGACCTTTATCCAAACCTAATATCCCTAATATAATATATTCCGGTCTTCTGGTCGACATTTTGCACATCAACTCAATATATTAAATGTAGCCTTTTCGGTTGGGATTACATCACATACACGAGTATCTTGTATTTAGGATGATTTTACAATTTATGTATTATTATTAATACCTGTACCCTTTACCTATGATATAAGTTAATAAGATACCCACCATGATTGTAATCATTTCAGGCTTTCGTCGAATAATGAATGTTGAATTCTTTCGCAACATTTTTAGTATACAGTTTTGTTAACTTCTGAAGGTATTTCCCCGGCTTTGACCCTTGCAAGTTGCTAGAGTAAAAAATGTTCAGTTACACCCGAACTTAGCCCTTCCTTACTTGTTAGAAAATATTGGTTATTAAAACGCTAGTACAATATTATTTATAGGGCCAAAAGAGTTATTAAAATCTATTATTTCTGAAGATTTTGGTATTTTGTTCTAGCCTGGAAAATAATCTTGTCGTAGGAGCTTTACAATGAACTCAGGTCTACAGTCCACCACCTGCACAGTCGCAATATGGTTTTAAATCAAACAAAAATTAATTGAGTTAAATATTTATAGTTATTTGTTTACAGTTATAAACGCTGATAAAAAGAGGATTCGAACACTTTCATACAATTTTCTTTACTCGTTCCGTCGGCATATTATCAACTTGTGATGATAATGTGAAATATTTGAAACACAACACCATATACAAATAATCAATGGAATATTTACTAGTTCATCCACGCGTACATAGGTACGTAAAATTGTTTCTAACAATGTGTGAGAAAAAATACAACTAATTTAATCGCATAGATGAAACAATAAAACTGGTTAACGCAGATTAAAATGGAACTTATTATTCTCCAATATTTTTGTTAATATAGAAAAATCAAAACAAAAAAGTTCAAAAGTTCTGTATTATTTAGAATTAATTTTACTGCCACGCGACATTTCAGGGATTAATGGATGATAACGAAACAGTCGTTTGCAAAAATCACGCATAAATGTGCATGTTTACACACACAGACGGATGGGAAACCCGAGCAAAAAACAAGTAAGGAACTACTAAGTTCGAACGGAACGGGGCAAATAGTAATGGAGTAAATACTTTCACAACACGATGAGGAAACACATTTGAGTTCGCATGACAATGGTTCGTTGCGACGCAATTCAGAAGCAAGAGTTTAAGCGCTCGTTATAGAGCGACAGTTTTTAACTGTTTCACACGTCACATATAATAACAGTATATTAATATTGCTTGGAAGCTATAACCAAATTTTGTTGAAATATAGAGTAACTATACCCTTAAAAGGTTAGAAATGCAAAACTGGACGATTCAAGCCCGAGTCTTTTCGACGATAGATGAGCTGAGCAAAGAAGAGTTGAATGCGCAAAAGACCATCAAAAAGCGAATTGTATGGAAAAGAAGCAAATAGTGATATTACTAGTCCACGTCTCAGCTGACGGTTAATGGCAAAATACTAAGACGAGCATCGGATGGAACTATCGCCACAGCTTTGAACACACCACTTTAGAGGAATCTTTTGCGATCTCTGAAACGCGCTTACTCATACACACAAATACAGGAAATGCATATTTATTTCAGAATATGGACTTGCGAAATAGTAGATAAAGTAAACACGCAACCAAATATTGACAGATCAAAGCTCAAATTAAATATGTTTAAATGTATCAAAAAAAGCACCAGCCTAGCTAGCATATATGTATGTATATACATGATAAGAACAAACCATTATTATTACTGTTAAATGTATGTGAATGTGTACCGGGGTATACCATATTGTGACCAAGACAGTCGCTGAGGGTATTGCGAAATTCCGTTCCGATTTCTTCCTTATAAGTGATAATACTATGTTTTACTATCAAATAATCAAGAACCTATGCAAATTCCACAGATTCACCTTGAAAAGAATATGCATACATACATTCTGTTAGATCGAAATTTAGCAGACAGTTTATCTATTGTTTTACTTGATTCGTCAATATACAGATTACTGTATATTATATTTAAGAAAACAGAGAGGATTTTGTGTATGACTACACTTCTGCGGTTAGACCTTTGGCCGAGCATTTCCTTCTAACTGTGCAACCCGCGGTTATCAAATTAGTGGAGATCTTCTACACATTTCCAACCACTTTCGGACTTCCAACTTATTCTATGAAAAGATTTCTCATTAGGAAATATGCTCGTAACTCACTTAGCTACGTCGTTTGGATACTCTTTACGGTAGCAATTAACCATTCAATGTCGGGAGAACACATTTTCATTCACTTCCATCACTAAAAATGCCTTCTTTCAATGCCAAAAGTTCAAAAGCTTCGTCTATCCGTCATATTTGGAATAAGGCATTATATTGCATTGCTAAAATTTATTACACTTAAAAATTAATTTAAAAAATACGTACTTTTATATGTATGTATACATTTGCAAACTATCCATCGGAAGATCAAGCTGTTGCATTTTTTGGTTAAGTACTATATTTTAGACAATTTTAATATGTACTATAAGTATATCATGCATATGCATGCGCATACCTTGAAATAGGCACGTACTTATTTTACTCCATCTTCTCCCGAGGGTTTATAAAACAAATCAAATATGTATGTCGCTCAATCATAGCTCGAAGTTCAGCTGAAGCAAAATAAAACATAATACGGGGGGAAAGCTTTCGTTCTAACTTTTACTATAAATGCACTGGACACATCTCCGACATCCAGTGAGTGTACATTAAACGATATCACTGTCAACTACATACAAGGAACAGCAAAAGCAGTACTACATCGGCAACAGTAGTGAGAGCAGAGGTAAATAAAAGTATGTACATATGTATATTGGCTTTGAGAAACTTTTCGTAAGCAAAACAAGCATACAAGTATAGTCGGGCGTAGAGGTGCAAGTGATAGATAGGAGGGTGCAGAAGTGTTTCACGATCGCTAGCCGAGGTAACGCGACCGAAGAACATCTAAAAAGTGTGTAGCTAACTTGTTGTGGGCACAATTCGCACTTTGCCGGGAACCGTCAAACGAAGCGGTCGCGAAAGTGAGAGACTTCCTCTAATCAACATTCATGTAGAACGTGTGATACTGGTGATTTTCGGTTTTTATTTATTTTTGTACACGTTTATGTTATTTACATAGTTGTTGGTAGAGGCACAACTTGAAGACGTTAGCACCAAACGGTCGACGAGCCAAGTAAAAATCCGATTTCATATTCTTTTAGTTTCGTAAAATAGCGAAAAGTCGAGTAACGGTAAGAGACCTCTTTTTGCGAACTTCCAATTTTAATACAGTGTTAAATAGAGAAATTGCGCTTTATTGTGTTAAGTGAAAAATTATTTGCAACACAAATGGCTCATACATATACATACAAAGATTATACAGCCACACTAAGTCACATACATATGTATGTAAATATTTACAATACTATATACATGTACATATTTACAATACAATGGATTATGATATATTATATTACGTGGCCCAACTTTGTTCATTGTAAGAGACAACGAAGCGATCTGACATCACAAGTGGTAATGTGTACGCCTGAAGGAAGATTAGGAATATACATCTTAATAGAAAGTTTCAAGACATATTGCATTTCAAATACCACGTAATAACTTAGACGTTTGTACAAGTGAACATATGTATATAGTATGCCAGTAATGCCGTGAAGTAACGTCGCTACTAACGAAAGCACACGTGAATGACAGTTATATGCATATTGTCACTGTACCATCAACAATAAGTTTTGTACATGGGTTAACTAATCGGACAGTTACTCAGAGAAAGTACAGTCCAACTTGATGCGAAATGTGAGAGCAGATTTGCACACACACATACATGTATATATATATGTCATAAATTCACAGAAAAGTGTGGTTAAAAAGTGCATATTGTACACATTAGTAACATTAACACATTTTGCCATTGGAGAGGAATTACATACATACGTTATCAAGCGTGAAATAGTTCTGTGTGAAAATGCATATAAACGGAAAATGTTATGCAAATCAGTTCATCAGAAATTATTAGTTTTTCGGTAAAATAGCTCGCATTGAAAGTGTATAATTTGAGGGGCATTTCGAATAAAACTGATCCTCACGGACACGGGTTCTTACTCCAGAGAACTTAGAATAACCATTTACGTTCTCTGCTTACTCTATACTTACCTACGATATAGTACATAAGCATATGTACATATGTATGTATGTATTTGAAAGTAAATCGCCTATGAAACAATATAAATGCATTCTGTGTTTTTACTGTTGTAATTATATTTCTAATGAAGACTTATTACTTATTGGCGACTTAGAATGATTCACCATTTCATAGGTTTAGTGACTCCACGCACGCTTCCACTTAATGATCGGTGTGGACTTTAACATGTGTATTGTAGGTGCATAATCATATTCAATAAGTATGTATGTGAGTATGTATGCATGCTTTTGACAGCGGCTAATTACAACCTTTGATCTGAATCTGATTTTATGCCATTTCAGTGGAGTGATTTTGATTTTAATTATTTGCTTTGTCAGAAGCGGTTATAAAAAGTCAAATAAATGTCATTGGATCACACGATCATCACAGTTGCCGAGACTTTATACTCAAATTTCGTTGCCCCTTATAAACTTTTACATAGACATACATACATATGTATGTACAACCATATGTACATATGGTGCGGCTCTGAGTTCTTCATGTACTAGTGTATGTAGTCCTCTACTAGCTAATAAAAAATGCTGAGGATCAAAAGTTGCACATTATAATTACCGGCGCGTGGTTTATATGAAAAAGCACAATTTACGTCCATTAAATTTCTTTTTCTTAAGCTTTTTTATCGTGCTTATGACTTGTTAACATTTTATTCGTAATTCCTTTCCGCAACGCTTTTTTTTCTTTTTCAACAAGGCTTTATTGGAAAGCATAGACAATTTTTAGTTACTAAGTACATATGTATTTCCATTTAGTAACAGTTATTTTACAATAAATTCAAGTGTAAAAACAAGAGTTTTTATAACGGTACATAAACGGAAGTCAACAAATAATATTAATTTGTTTACCATATTTCTCTCAGATTACGAGACAGTTATTATATAGAACAATTTTCCGTAATTGACTTTCAATAAAGTTTAATTTATTCTGTAGAAGTGTTTTCCGTTAGGTGTTAGCGAGTATAATTAATAAAGTGACTACACAATCAGTGAACGTTGTTGTTTTTGTAGCAGTAAAAAAATCGTTGAATAATTTGGAGGAATGCTGCCAAGTTGATAGTCCTTGACCTGAAAAAATTCGTTAACCCGTCATGGGGACGAACAATGGGGATAAACAATGGGACTCGTTTTAAAACAGAATACCGAATTTATCAACATTTGTATAATGACAGTCCTGGGTCGGATAAAAATCCGGGTCCGTTCCGGTTACGTAGACCCAACTATCGTAGGAACGGTTTGTATAATGATATTCGTATATGATATGTGTAATGCACATGCCGATGCCAAACAAAAATTTGACAAATATTTTCACTATAATTCACAGTCTTCTATGAATGCTGAAGAGTAATTCATTATATTTGTATAACTTTGTGTTTATATTTCTAGATTCATCATGCCACCAAATGCAGCAGCAATAAATCACAATTCTCTGGATGCCCTAACGGGACAAAAGGTTGATGGAATCAAAAGCAATTTAGGACCGTCCAAAGAAACCGGAGTTCTGTTTGAATACGATGCAGACACGGCTGATGGAGCCTTGAACATTGATGTACTTCAACGGAAACGTGCCGACAAACGCAAGCTTAAATTAGTTTGGCGAAATATAATTATCTTCGGATACTTGCACATTGCTGCACTTTACGGTGCTTGGTTATTTTTTACTTCGGCGAAGTGGCCGACTGTGTTCTTCTGTAAGTATTTCTATTGAGCTTCCAAAAATTTAAAATATTGTATTATTAATCGATTACAGTCGTATATCCAAATATGTTTGTATATTTGCTGCTTTATAAATAGTATTATCATCGCTTTGAAATTTTCCAGCCATCTATCTCTATTCCATTGGTGTATTGGGTATCACGGCTGGAGCTCATCGCCTTTGGGCTCACCGCTCTTACAAGGCTAAGTCGCCTTTAAGGGCTATACTAATTGCTTTCAATACGTGTGCTTTCCAAGATGCCGCCTTCCATTGGGCACGCGACCACCGTGTCCATCACAAGTTTTCCGAAACCGACGCAGATCCCCATAATGCTACACGAGGTTTCTTTTTCTCCCACATCGGTTGGTTATTATGCAAGAAACATCCTGACGTTATAGCTAAAGGAAAAAGCTTAGATTTGACTGATTTGTATGCTGATCGTATTCTCATGTGGCAGTTGAAGTAAGTCTAACATTATTTTTAAACATTAGCTATATCAAGAATTTTCAACACTATTCACTTTATATTATTTCATCAGAAACTACTATATACTGATGCCTTTAGCGTGCTTTATACTTCCAACCATTATACCCATGTACTTCTGGAATGAGACATTCATCAATTCCTGGTTTGTTGCAACAATGTTCCGTTGGTGTTTCTTGTTGAACGTCACTTGGTGTGTGAATAGTGCTGCACACAAATTTGGAGGTCGCCCATATGATATGTGAGTACACTAATAATTTCCATGCATTACGGCCTCATTTTATTTGAGCTTTACTTTTTCTATTTTTATTTTTGCCTATATAGAAACATCAATCCCTCGCAATGCCCATCTGTTTCAGCATTTGCGTTTGGTGAGGGCTGGCACAACTATCATCATGTCTTCCCGTGGGACTACAAAACAGCAGAGTGGGGCAACTATTCCCTGAATTTAACCACTGCTTTCATCGATTTCTTCGCTAAAATTGGCTGGGCTTATGATTTGAAGACCGTATCCGCTGACATCATTGAAAAACGGGTGAAACGTACTGGTGATGGTTCACACGAACTTTGGGGCTATGGCGACAGTGATATTACCAAAGAGGACCAACAAGGCATTATTACAATTAATAAGAAGCAGGAGTAATGTAGCCATAATATAATAATTTTAATACATATTGAACCCAACTTGTCTGATTTTCACAAATGTGTCTTACCTGATCATATATACTAAATTTTTAATTTGTGTAAAGCGAATCTAAAAGAAGCAAACTAACTAAAGGGATAAATTAAGATAATTTATAAAACACATAAATATATGATATAATGTATATAGCTGTATTTTGAAATGTATATAAGTAGATACATACGAATATGATGCGGTTGATCTGGCATCGCTCCTGTAACTATTAATTAAAATCAATCGTTTTTTACATGCATACATTTATTGTTTCATACTCTAAATATGCATATTTATTTAATAAGATTAAATATATAACCCCTTGAATAAAATGCTATCGGTTATGAAAACATCTACAGAAACCAATCGTAGATAAAACTTAAAAGTTTATATATTTTTAACCCTGGACCAGATAACACCCAGAAGGTAACGTCGGAGACCATATAAAATTTATATAAAAATTATAATCGTGACGAGCTGCGTCGATTTAGCCATGCCCGACTGTCTATCCGTCTATCTGTATATACGCGAACTAGTCTCTCAGTTTTAGAGCTATCGATCTGAAATTCTGTACAGGCAACGCAAATTAAGTTTAAGTGGAATACAATTGTCCGTTTCAAGCCCTTTGCCGAAAGATAGACAAATTCAATAAAAAACATAAAACTCAAAAAAAAAAATGTAAAGATATACAAAGAATAACTGGTGTTCGGTGCAAGTAGAGTCAAAACATGAGAAATAAAGTAAAAACATGTGGCCTAAAAAGATAGAAAGAAAATATTGAACTAGCCGAAATATCACTGAAATAGTGAATATGGAGACAATTAAAAGGTGTATAATTCTCAAATTAGAAATCAGATTTCTGTGGGAAAAGCCTAAATAGGGATATTTTATGAATAGAATTGTCGACCATTACCACTGAGAAGGATTCAGATTTTCAGTAAGATAAGCCTCTACTTCTCACACACTGGTAGAGGGACTATAAATATAATTCAAGGTATTATGGACCAGCTCAAATATATCCAACCAACAACCTAGGTTAATCTTCAGAATACAGACGCCTTTCAAAAAAACGAATGGCGCAAAACGCACGAGGAGGAGGATAGAGAACTCCCTAGACACGGCGATATTGGTTAAAGAAAATGGACTGCTAAATTTTTTAATTTGAACCGCATCGAAAATTTGAGAGGAGAAATTCAGATTAATTAAAACTTTTTGTGGAATTTAGAGCGACAAAAAACGTAAAGAAATATAATTATATACATATGTATCCAATTATTTGACTGTCTCCTAGAATCCCGAAATCAGTTGATGTAAAACTAAATTGCACTTTTTATGAAAATCTGCCATTTTTTCTCATTCTTAAATTAGCACTTCTATATTTATAAACATAACTGTACGTTTGAATATGTAGTGTTTAATAAGTAATTTCGTTTGACAAATTTCTTTATAGACAATTTTGGTTTATTAAATAAATAAACTGTAATTGTACTTTTCTTAAATATCCGCCTCTGAACAGCTTAACTAATGTCTTAAATGAACATTAAATATTTACCTCATTTTATTATGGAAAACATCGTTTGAATATCGTAGGATAATTAGTGCATAGACCCCTTATCTTCTGCATAAAGAAAGTATATAGGAACTCGATCACCATTTGGTAAATGTACAAGTTCCGTGTGAGATATAAGATGGATCGCAGCAAGCCCATAAAATAACATTGGCAGTCCTGCAGTTATATAAATACTTATAAAAAAAATACCTAGAAATAATAGAAATTTGAAATAATTTTATTTACCCAAATTTATTACTTTCAAAAATCGGAAAAACTTATCTTCCATGGAAAGATCTTGAATTGCCCGTTTACTGCAGTGATATTTCATATAAGGGTAGCATCCTGTACGGAGTATATGATAATTTGTTCCTGAATCAAGAGTCCAATTGAAGTGTGACCTACCACGTTGATCGTTCTCAACATCCCTGAACTAAATTGATACAAATAGGTGCGTAAGTTAAGAAATTTCTTTTTACAACTATGCTTAATTTGCCTTCACAAAATATGACGTCCACGGTGGTTCGTTACATTGTTTAAGGTAAGCGGTTAAGAGTTCTGAAGCTTTTGGTTTCATCAAATAAGCAGAAAGACGCATATTGGAAAAGCTTTTTTTATTTATCGGGTTAACGATGTTTTATTTACCAAAGACCGGTTCAAGATGACACGTGACATTCCAGACTCGATAACCCACATTGTCAAAAACAAAAAATCACATTTAACACTTTCTCTGTTTGTTTTTATCTATTACAATCGTATCATAGATTTTTCGCAAGTTTTATAGAATATAATAATATGTGACCTTGGAACAGCTGATGACAGTGATGATAAAAACACTTAAAAGATGCAACAGAAATTTCTAGATGAACGTTAGCAACAACAATTATTCGTCTCTATTTAATCATTAACTATTTGTAATATTGTTTAATTGATTTTCGCACCACAAATATGTATCCTTTGTCTACTGTCCTCTAGCAAATCATAACAAATAGCTAGGTCACATATGATAACTTTTTATGAAAGTAGAATTGGCATCTAAAAATATAATTACACAGCACTGAGTATCAAGACAGCTGTTTGGCGAAGTGTTGCCAACGTCGGACCTTTTTTGTGCGTATTTTCATAGTAGGAATTTTCTGGGGATGGTTAAGAGAATAGTGCGATTAGCAGATACATATCATACTTAATTGGCTAGTCATATATTTGTTGTGGTGTAGTGATTGCTCCACAGATTACGTGATAATATTCAAGACGCATAATTCCCAATAAAACATTTTTTTTCGTATTAAATCATTACAGCCAACATTTTAAAAATGTGGCCCAGATTGTGGGTTTCCGCCAGACGTTCTGCTGTTCAATTAAATATTGAAAATTCATTAAAAGTCTCTTTGCGTGCCTCATCTAGCCAGGCCAAGCAGGTGGAAATTTCCGATGCTAAACTAACCAATTCGGTTTTACAAACAGAGAAATTTCATGATATTCGTATATATAATGAACCAATTCCACAATATCTACCCGGGTCTAATGAAATTAAAGATTTGCAGAAAGCACTCAAGCATTATGAGAATAATTGTGAAGATATACCGATTGTTATAAACGGTAAAGAGATAAGAGAGGGACAAGAGACGTTCCAAGTTATGCCACATAACAAGAATCACAAGCTTGCAAAATATTACTATGCTGACAATGCTACTATAGAAGAAGCTATACGTGTCTCGGTGCTGAAACAAAAGGAGTGGGATAAAACCCCTCTTAAAAAACGAATTGAAATTTGGGAGCGAGCGGCTGATCTTATGGCCAAAAAGTATCGTGCTGATTTGTTAGCTACTACAATGTTGGGGCAATCAAAAACAGTTATTCAGGCCGAAATAGATTCCGGTGCTGAATTGATCGATTTTACCAGGATGAATGCCGGTTACTTGAAAAATTTGGCCATGGAACAACCTCTAAGCCCAGAGCCAGGAGTAACCAAAAACCATTTACGTATTCGTGGTTTAGAGGGATTTGTTGCAGCAATAACACCATTTAATTTCACCGCAATCGGTGGTAATTTAGCGTTTACACCTGCTTTGATGGGCTGTAGTGTATTATGGAAGCCATCAGACACAGCGATGCTCTCCAACTGGACGGTGTTCAAAATAATGAGGGAAGCCGGTGTACCCGATGGAGTAGTAAACTTTGTTCCTGCTATTGGTAATTAATTAACCCTTTTGAAACTAATATACATCAATTTAGCTGCATATGTGTGTATGCATGTACATACATATATGTACCTCACGTGTAAATTCATGTGCATTGAATATTTGTGTTTTTTTCGATAGGCAAAAATTTCGGTGATGCTATCACGAATTCACCCGACTTAGCTGGTATCAATTTTACTGGTTCCACAGCTACCTTCAAAACCCTCTGGAAACTGGTAGGCAATAAAATTGATCAGTATAAAAATTATCCACGTTTAATAGGGGAATGCGGAGGTAAGAATTTCCACTTCATTCACCCATCAGCGAATGTGGAGACCGCAGTTGCGCAAACTATTCGCTCTGCTTTCGAATATAGCGGACAGAAGTGCTCCGCATGTTCTCGATTATATGTACCAGAATCGCTTTGGGAGTCCCAATTTAAAAGACCACTTGTTGAGAAGACTAAGAATTTGAAAGTAGGTGATGTTCGTGAAATGGACAGTTTCTTCTCGGCGGTTATTGATGAAAACTCATTTCAACGTATTCTTGGGTTTATTAATGAAGCCAAAGAGGATCCCGAATGCACTATATTGACAGGTGGAAATTTGTCCAATTTGAAAGGCTTCTTCGTGGAACCAACTATTATACAGGTGAAAGATCCTAATAAGCGCGTAATAACAGATGAAATATTTGGACCAGTATTATCAGTGTATGTTTACAAGGACAGCGATTTGGATAAGACCTTGGATTTGGTTAGAAATACAACAAAGTATGCGTTAACTGGCAGCGTTTTTGCCACACAAGAGCTATTTTTAAAACAAGCTTTAAATGAATTTAAAGATGCAGCAGGCAATTTTTACATTAATGATAAATCCACTGGTGCTGTCGTTGGGCAACAGCCCTTCGGTGGGGCGCGTCAGTCCGGTACTAACGATAAAGCAGGATGCCCATTTTATCTGATGCGTTTCGCTTCATTGCAAGCTGTAAAAGAGACATTCGTACCACTACCAGATATATACTACCCTTATATGAACAAAACGACTAATTAAATAGCTGATAATATTTCTTATTAAATGAAACTAAGCGAATCTCGAATGGCAGTTAAAAACTAACAATATATAAATATTTTGTGGTTATAAATTATATATTTTATGCCATGAATACTGGAATATTTCAAATATAATGAATGTATTAAGCAATTATAAATTACAATTTACTCAATGCGTATTTTAATCTCTTTAACGGACAATTAACGTACATACATAAATATATGCTTAGCTAATTACTTCAGTGAGTTGAATGTATCAATGCCATCTCACATGGCACATGTTCACTAGTAGCCAAGCCCTCTATTTGTTATCAATATTTTTTATATTCTACTGCATTGGTGGGACTTTATTACATACCCATACTTGTGTACAATAAAATCAACACAGACCTGCGATAATCATTTGTGTGTGGTTTTATTTCTATTTGTTTTAAATGTTTAGGGGTTAATACTGGTCATAAGCGTGTCTTAGGAGTGGAGCCGCAGAATGCAAATGCTGATAAATATATTATTTTGAAATGTTTCTATATAAAGCGAACTTCTAATTGGACAATATTTAATTTATTTAAATAAAAAGTATATATTTAAATTTCGCACATGTGTTATCATTGGAAAGTTTTCAAGAACCAATGTGGGAATGTAATAGTGTTCTTGCTATGAACAAATATACGATAGCTATACAATCTAAATTTGTTGAAGATTAAAAATCATACATATTTACATATGTATGTACAATACATATATGAGTATGTGGGCTTCATTTATTAATTAAACCCTAAACAAATTAGCATTGGATTTTCTTGTTTGCCATTTGGGTAGTGCATGTGTGTATGTGATATAAAGCATCTACGTATTAAGGAGGTGTGAGATAAACGAACGCAAACATTCGTTCAATTCATTTCAAACTTATAATTGTTGCAATAGTTGTAAAACTAACTTGAGAAACAGTAAAAGGTTAACTGAAAGTGAATAGACAAAGAAAATGGGATTTTCGTAAAAAAGCCGGCAGCAGTTTTGGTGTTGGCTTACATTTGATGTCGCCTATATAAAAAGGATTATTTCACCGCGGCATAATGATGAGTTCACACAAGCGGAATTGTTGATTTTCCCCAAAGAGCCTTCCTGCCTCAAGAAAGTAATCTAAATTTCGGTACAGTTTTTCACAATGTTGCTTATCAATAATGGAACACACATTTCAAATGATTTCAATTAGTGTCCTGTCAGTGATCGAGAAAGATTTCGGACAAGATCGCTTCTTACTGGAAAACCCTTATAAAACTACACAAAGTCCTAATATCCAGAGACTACCAATTATAATCGGTATAGCGGCATATGAGTTTGTCGGCGAAGCCTATTGTAGGTAATTTTTAAAAATATTTCAACTCAACATTCATCACTTACTATTGCGTAACATATAAATCTACAAAAAAAATTCAACCACGAATGGTTAAATGAGGAATTTAAAAAGTTTGCACCCATCATACTAATGTATGAACGAGATACCTTAGGTTCCACGAATATAAGTACGTACATGAGGTTCATATATCTGGCGAATGTCACCTTACAGTTGCCGAACACTTTAGGCTCTTTCCGGAAGTTCTGCACTAACAGTATTATTGGCTTCGAATATCATCGATTTTTGGAACTGATCTCTCGTCTCACGACTATCATTTTACTTATAATTATGATGACTTATTATACCTCTTGCATATACCCGTCAAAACACCGTAGATATTGAAAATTTCACTCGCATTTGGGGAGTAATTGTCAAAAGCGGGAAAGATATTTGGAATATTCTCTCAAAAATCAGATCAGTCTCAAACGGTCACAAAACTCAAATCTGAACTTTGCGAGGGAATCTGATAGGTTAAATAATGAAAATTCAACCGGGATGAAAATACAGTGACTGCCTCTCACTCCATTAAAATCATAATAAACCTATCAAAAAGAGGCGTATTACTCCAAACATTGTGAAAATGTATTGTAATTATTTTTAGAGATCCTAATAATGAAACTGGATGATAAAAAGTCATAGGTACTTATTAATAGGGAGAGACCTGGGAGTTAAGGAGAGTGGAATTTTCGCACAGCGGTTCCAAATTTACGTTGTAATTGAAAATAAGTAAAATCAGATTTTCTATGAACAAATTCGGAGTGTATAATTCTGTACCTATATTCACATGTTTATTTGAAAAAGGAAATACGAAAACTTTGTATAAACCAATCAATATTGAAAATGGGGAAATAGAGTTGCAATGAATTTTATTACAATTTCTTGCTTAATTTTCATCTTGATGCATTTTCACATTTTGGTAACCGGTAAATGTAAAACGGAACAAGCGATGAAAAAAGATGTGGACAAAGGAAAACAACTACATGGAACTAATCAAGATAATGAAACCAACCATGTAGCTCAACATAAACCAATTGGCAAGATTTATTTGATAAATAAATCTAAACTGAAGGAGGAAAAAAAGCTAGATGATAAAGCTACTTTGAACCCCAAGACGAAAGATATCAATAAGGCGCAAGACAAAACCGAGGTGGAAGCCAATGACCTAAACCTGCCAATCAAATTCGCTCATTCCAAAAAGTTTAGATTACCAACTGCACCAACGTCTGCCAGTCAAACCGATCAGGCTAGTGAGGACTCAGAGTTGGGTTACAATGGTGATTTGTACGATGTGTTTAAAAAGCGGTTAAATCAAGTTTTTCGAGAATTGTACCACAATGTTAACACGCCGGCGGTTACTCAGCCTCCACCGCAAGTTGAAATTGAAAATGACAAACCTAAAAAGCGGTCAGCAATTAGTAATTGCCTTTACGAGGAATTCAAACGGCGTTTGGACAAGTTCAATAATGAATTTATGGAGCCAACTAAAGCAATTAAGCGCACAAGTGGCGACGTAGTTTCCACCGTTCATGACGATGGCAGGAAATGTACACAAGTGACAGAAAACTTATATGAGGAGTATAAAAGACGTCTCGATAATCTCCATGATGAACTTGGGCTGGATGGCGAAAAAGTCTTTAACCCAGGTGGGCATGCTGCTCCCAGTAAGCTAGCTTTTACAACGTCCAAACGAGAGACGACACAAAAAAGAATTGAATCTGATAAAGCTGTCGAACGGAGTTTTTATGATGAATATAAGAAAAAGTTAGATGAGCTGACTCGGGAATTGTACAAAAAGAGCAATGAGCGGATCTGTCGCACATATGGAGAACTTAGGGAATACGATCTTACATCACCAACTTTGCAGAGATTAGTGGCGGCGCTGCAGTCGGATGACGCGAAAGTAATGCCTAGAAACTTACGAGATGGATTAAGTAGTTTCGAAGGATCAACTATTTTATTGAAGATTGACAGAGCCATTGACAATATAGAGAAGGAGGAGAACAAACGTAGTTTGGGTGCTACCGAATTAGGTGCGACGATTTTCGGTGCTGACTCATTAAATTTCATGACAGGCACGACAAGTGGTGTCGGTACAGCAGCCGGTGCTTCTTATCCAGCTGTGCTGACTAAATCGGTAGACGCAAATTTGGGGCTCCTAAGTAATACAGCTCCCAAGAATCTGTTAGCGACGATCGCCTCAAAAATGAATATGACGACACTAGATTTGGCTAAAAAGTTAGCGGCCATGTCTAATCCATTGGATTACGTGGCGAAGAAGGACCCGCAATTGGGGGAAGAAATGCAAAAATTCATAGACTTGAGCGGTAAGAGTAAATACTTGTACTACGTATATGCATGCATATGTATATCACGTCGGATATAATAAATGCTATTCCTTTTAGTTAATAAGTTAAACCAAAATCCGATAGGAAAGAAAGCTTCACTAAACGAGGTTTCTGTGGTCTCAGGCTTACCTTTAATGGGACCAGACCAATCCGGAGAGCCAGCACCATTAATGACTCAGAATACTCCATTTAGTAGGGTCCTTGCACTTGCACCCAGTATAGCTCCCGCTCTCGGTCCCGCCACCGCCACTGCACTCGCAACCGCGACTCCCTCTGCAGTTACATCTACTGTGGCGCCCACACAAGCTGAAGATCAATTGCGTGTCAAGGCAATTGCGAAATCTTCAACATCATACCAATCCAGTGACGTCGAGGCCACCCGCATAGCTGGTGTACTAGACAAGGTTCTAAGCAAGCTAGAATATATCCAATCATGTAAAGCACCCCCAGAACCAATAGATGATAGCTGCGAACCAGATGGTAAAACAATGTCATTCAAATTATAATTATAGGACTAAATATTTCTATATCAAGGTATGCCATGTGATGTTGTTGGCTCTTGGAACTCCTATCAAATGGGATTACGTTTCGATATTACTTTGACGCGTGCGGCAGACCGGCGATTGGGCACAGCTGAGAAGAACAATAAACTCTTAACAGTGGATGTAGGAGAACGCATTCCGCCGCATGCACATCATATTATTGAAACTAGTTGGAAGTTTATGGGCAGCGCACTAAACCAACAAGGAGGCCCCTTCTATCTTTACTCGCAAAATCGCGAACTAAGTACAGTAGCTACCTTCATAGGTATGCATTTTATTGGCATCGACTAAAGCGGCATTTATAGCTAATGCACTTTGCTTACAGGTTACTGTCGTGTTTGTGGTGGCATTGATACAATTTTCGGGTCCTGGGCAATTATGGGCCCCTCAAAAGACTGTGAAGACATTACAACAGCATTGGAGAATAGGCGCGACATTTTTAGACGTTATAATATGGAAAACAAACGAAATCAGCATTTCAAGAACATGCTTTTCGAAAAAAGCCAATATTCCAAACCAGACTGTGATGGCCCCAAAAAAGGATGAGTAATAATGCTTTCCAACGACCTTCTATTTCAGTTTCCCTTTTCCCGTTTCCGTTATTCAGAAACAAATTAAAAAACTAAAAACTACAACGTTATATTTGGCAAGCATTTTACATTGCCGTTAGTGTCAATTACGAATACATATTTACATCAAGACATTTCGCAAATAGATTAAAAGGAACACAATTATTCATAGTCAATTCTTTATTTTTTAAGTGTTTCATTTTATAATCATAAATTGTAATAATATATATTTTACGTATTATTTAGTATATTATATAATATATTTAACTGTGTGTGTGTATGTGTTTATGGACAATATTCAATGTTTGTATGAATTTAAAACATAGCTAAAAACTAAAATCAAACGGAAATAAATAATCGAGTCGAATTCAATATGGATGTTTGTAAATAGTTACATCCATCCGAATTCCATAATTGTAATCATTTAATCATTAAATTACATATTTTCCGCCATTACCATACTAATGGTATAGTTAATTATTTTAGATTTTAGACTTGAATGGTTGCACAGTTTCGTTCCGTCGGTGTATCAATTGTTTATTGTAATTGTTTACTTAATTACATATTAAGCAGTAGAAATTACAAACAAACAAACTAAATTAGAAACGACCAGTATGTATATGTAAATGTGGTTATTTGCGCATTGCTTTGGCTGAATGATGCTCGGTTCATGGTTTGCTCCATTACTTTTGCTATTTATATTTGCAAAAGACATGTCGCATTGCATTCTTATCAAGCACTTTATGTACATATACTGATATTTTTACCGCGTTCAAAATATTGCTTTGAAAGCAATACGCATATATATACATCTTTATTGTTTGGATAAAGTTCTATTTAATTTTTTCGAAAATAATCAAATTTCAAGTTCATTCAAATCAACTTGTTTAAGATGATTTATATTATTCTTTGCGGTTCTACACTTTAGTTTATTTACATGCCATATGATAACATTTGACTCGATAAGATCCCTTTGAAATACAGGCGCTTTATAATTAATTGCAATCCAGTTACTTAAATATTCTTTCATTTTTTTCAAAAATTTTAACACTTTTTACTTTTCTTAGCATTATATTTCACTAGATTACTCTGTACGCTCAGTTCTGATAGTTTGTTTAACATAAAAGTAGATTTATTTATATATACTTTATATAAAAATCCAATATTGAACACACGCTCTGTTTTGAACTTAAGTTTAGGTGGATTATTTCTATAAAAAAAAGAGAAAAAAAAAGAGGAAACATGAGTACGATCTAATTTAAGCCTGACTCAATCTAATTATCTCAATTTGAGGCTATGTAGGGGAAAGTAATTCTTATAATTGCCCTTGCAGTCAACTGAAAAACAAAGGACGTGCGCTTACGTCAAAGCAAAAAAAAAAAACTCATTAATGATCAATAAATTTACATACGTTTATATGTATATATAATCACACATTATACATGTGCGCGCGCCTGATCCAATAATTGTCAACTCTATTATTTCTAAACTTTAGCAAAACTCATTTGTACACATACGCAACTAGTCGCAGCATTTTCACATTCCAACAGGTTAGAGAAACGCAAAGTGTGAATGAAAACAGTGAAAGCAAAATTTGAGTTAACACATTAATATGTTTTATATAGTTTTACAAATAAAACTCGCTCTAGTGTATGTGTACAATCGTTTTTCTTCGTATTTTGTTTAATTTATCCAGGAGCTTTTATTATGTATTTTTATGTACATCTACATTACAACACATATAAATAAACGAAAATAAAATGGGATTCTTCGTTCGACGACGAACGACTCTGGATTTGGTTATTTTTAATTATAATTACAACATGGAACCACGTAAACGTGATGAGACACTGATACGACAAGCAAATGTTTTGCGATATTTATTTATATCTATTTATGTTCGAGCATATATGTAATTGTTTGTAATTTGCGCACATCAAAGATGTCCAACCAACTTTGATACAAGTTTAGATTATTTGTAAAACTATCCTTAATTTCTCCTAAAAAACAAAGTTATAGGAAATTTCCACATCTTCGAACAAATAACATACAACACATTAGGAATCGTGTCGGTTGTGGCAAAGCAAATAAACTCACTGAGGCATGATTATTTTAGATTTATTAGAAACAAAAATAAAAGATGTAAAAAACTTTCTAATTAATATTGGCTATAATTACTAATTAGCTTTTTTGCGTTCATTTATTGTGGGCGATCGCATTTGTGCACACACAAAAGCCTTGCACATCTTGTACATAAAAAAACTAACAAATTTCATTGAAACTCTCACGGAAATATAAATTAGTGGAAAATACAAAATATATATGTATGTAAGAATATAAAATCATACACGATGAATAGATGAATGCATCTATGGCGATACAAAGTACGTATGTAATTAATTACAAGTTAGATTAATTAATTGTCGCAAAGGTTTCAATAAGACATTTTCGCAAAATGTATATGTTTGTTTGTTTATATGTGTGTGTTTGTGCGTGTGTGGAAACCACATTTTCGCACCTTTACCGTAAATTCCAAAATTATTTTACAAAAAGTAGATTTACTAGTATTTAGTACTGTATGTATTGTATCTTAAAACTATTTATGCCTTTCTCCTCTTCCGTTCTGCTGCCTGTTCTTGTGTTACTATAAAATTATTGTATGCTGATCCAATCGTTTTTAGGTGTTCTTCTAAATGTGGTGATGATTTTCTTTTTCCTATGCTATGTTTTCTATGGCATCGTTGTCGTTGCGCAGCATTGTTGTCGTCATCACCCGTTATATGCTGGGCACACGTCTAATTCCAATACTTGCTTTTCTCTTTAATTCATTGTATCTGTTTGATGCCGGTTGGTTGTCCATATGTTTTTTCCTCCTACTTCTATGTCGTTCGCTGTTGCAGTTCTAATTTTAATTAACAATAACCAAATCGCGCCAAATCTCATCTTGATAAACTATGCGAACGTTCACGGCTGCTGCTGCTGCCCGAAGAAATCGCCTGTTTTATATTGCCAATTTCACCGACGCGTTGGTGCGGTGGGAGCTTATCGAAGAACGGATGGCGAAGCGCGTCACCTAGATAAGAAGATAGGAAAACAGGCAACGAAATCTATTAGCGCTTGTGTCGACAGCGAGTAGCCTCTCTACAAACAAGATTACTTATCTGTCACAGTGTCCTAACAATTGCAATAATTCAATTTGAACCGAGCTTTTAGTTCAATTTAACATATTTTAATTTCACAACTCAAATAAAAAATATTCACATCTACGCTCTAGTCCGCAGTATATTCGATTTTACAAAGACAAGTATTGATTGACATCACTTAAATATATCAGAGTGTTATAACAAATTTATAATTGCATGGGTTTATAATAATCTATGTATACTGCTAATTTTTTATCGAAGTTTTTCTTGTTCTGATTAAGAACACCCTTATTACATTTCCATTAATAAAAAAACATTTTCTCTTGCCACACGAACTGCTATTAATTATTTATGCATTGTAAGACTGAATTAATTTGACACGTCAGTTACTTAGTTTTCGAACCCTTATCTCAATCTCAAACTTAAAATTTTTTCGGTTTGTTTCATAACAATTAGTTGAGATGATTTTTAACCTTTCTACAAATAAGTTTAAGATTCTATGAAAGATCCTTCTCTAATCTAGATTCTTCTAATTTATTTTTCAAAGCAAAAACACTTGCATAATCCTTTCAGTTTATATTCATGAAACCAATAACAAATACTAGTTTCAGTAGCAATACAAACTTATATGCACATACATATATCTTCATTGGAGTGGGCTTGACGCACTAAATTTAGTGCTTCTACTCACCTAACGTTACCCGCTGAGATGGTTCGTACTCCAACATTTTCTTGATCAGATCAAAAAGTTCGCAGTGATCTTCCGTGTCACTCATTTGATATCTGAATAGTGGCTTGCAATGATCGCGCACATAACGCCCAGCCGAGGACTTCTCATCCCAGTCTAACTTACCGTGATAAAAGTATTTCGTTTTTGTTTTGCTGTAATGGCAATGATTTCTATACATTAATCGAATTTCATGAAGTAGACCGTTCAAAAATATATGTAAATATGTTTAGCTTTGCATTACCGTGCCATTCGATATGGTATTTGTCCAAGGATGCGCTCCATCATCGCTAGATGCTCCCGATTGTCGTGCGTTTGGAAGAGGGTTATGCCTAGGTACAACTCGAAGAGAATACAGCTATGACAGAGAAAAGTAATTTCATAATTAAACAAAAAATTCTATACAAATATATGCACATATATTCTTTAAATATTAAGTTATAAGCTTTTTCTTGCACGTACCCAATAGACCAAACGTCACAGGGCTGCGACCAGCCTAACTCAAGAATAACCTCCGGTGCACGATAGTGACGAGTTGAAACAATTGTGCTATGATGCTCATGATCAAATGTTGCCGAACCGAAATCAATGAGGCGAACATCGGTGTTTTTAACACGACGCACTTCGCGATTCTAAAAATATATAAAAATACACCTTATATATACAAATATTTATACAAACGACTTTTGCGTTGTACACAATATAACTTTATCAAATAGAACAAAGAAAGCCCTGATAATGCAGAATAACAAATGTTGTTATCTTGTATAATGTAGGTTGTAAGAGCTAAGCTGCAACAGAGCTAAGCTAGCAAACCATCCCGATTTTGATGATAAAATATCTCCGAAAAAAATTCGCCTATTGACCATCGTTCCTCTATAGATAAGGTCAAACATCGAACAATAATAAAAGATGAAAAATATCTACACAACTCTTGTAACCTTTGGAAGGTGCTTAAAAATATACAGCCCATCCAAAAAAGTAGAAAATCTTGAGCAATACTCGAAAACATAAAATTAAACGGACATCTATTATATCATATATATCGGGTTTTCTAATAGGGATGATATGTTTTCTAAGTGTCGTTTCGGCCATTTTCAATATGTCATGATGAGATTTTTTTTCATTGTATTCAGTAATGTTTACAATTCCATCATGGAAAGATATACGCAAGAGCAACGTTTACAAATTATTCAATTTTATTATCAAAATAATCGTTCTCCAACTTCAACTTTTCTTGCGCTTTTGCCATTTATGGTCGTAATAATCGTCCAACTGTCTATTCGTCGAATTATCGAAATTGAAATCTAATTTTTGTGCGAAAAAAATCCACAAATTATTTATGACCATTCACCTAAACTGACAGTTTGAGGTGGTTTTTGGTCTGATGACATCATCGGTCCGTACTTCTTTCGAAATGAAGCTGGGGACATCGTTACTGTCAATGGAGAGCCGTATAGATCGATGATACGCAACTTTTTATGGCCTCAATTGGAAGTTGATTTTGACAACATCTGGTTCCAACAGGTGCAACAACCGAATTATTACGGGAAAAGTTTGGAGATTCGATAACTTTAAGAAATTGTGACATTGAATGACCTTCACGAAGTTGTGATTTAACACGATTAGAGTACTTCTTATGGGGTTATTTGAAGACATTGGTCTTCAGCAATAAACCAGACTCTTTTCAAGAGTTAGAGGTCAATATTGAACGTGCTATTCATGACACACGACTTGATTTAGTGGAAAAAGTACTCGAAAATTCTTTGAACAAACAAAAATCGCCAAGCTCATATAAAAACGTCTAACCTTAGCGGCTGTTACTGACAAACTAATGAATACAGCTAAAAATTTCATCGTACTTCAGGGGCATGTATATCAACACAATAAACAAACAATTTTTGGCAATTGGACTCTCCAAACCCTCGAAATTAAAAATTTCCTCTATTTTCTGAACACACCTCGTATACACATATATATTGTATGGTATAAGCTGTTAAATACACCAACTTTTAAACTGTTATATTAACCCAATTATAAACGTCTTACCGAGGCTCCTTTTTCCAGTTTTTAAACATAATGATAAAACTTACTATTTTGTGATTATAATGCGTCGTATACTCCGAATCGACGAAGAGTATATTTTCAGGTTTGAGATCAGTGTGCGTTAAGCGATTGTCATGTAAAAATTTCACTGAATAGCATAATTGATAGGCCATGTGCCGTACTTGTTCCAATGGATATGGTTCATAGTTGTTCTCGCGCTATTAAAAATTTTAAATTTTATAATAAAATGAATAAAAGGAAGGTTGATGAAAAGGAAGCTTACCAAAAAATCGAACACACTTAAACCTAACATCTCAAAAACGATGCACATGTGGCCATGGTAGTCGAACCAATCAATCATTTTCACACACAAACTGTAAAGAAGTGAACAATTCGCTTTGTAGCATATAGCAACATACAAGTATAAATAGGTTGTCCTTACTGTTCGCAATGCGGATCTTTTTGAGCGATCTTTTCCAAAGCGTTTATTTCCAGCTTCGCAGCTTCGCGATATTTCTCCACGTTTTTAATGATCTTTAAGGCCATACAAAAGTCCCTAATATTTTGTTGAAATACATCATTAAATACCCATAAAATATTCAATACTGTTCAAAATACCTCTCCATATCCTTGACCTTCACGACCCGTCCGAAAGTACCCTCGCCCAGCGTAGCCATAATCTTATCTGAAAGTTCGCAAAAAGGACAACATTGTAAATCAAGTGGAACTTCGAATGCCCTCAATGCGATGCAGAAATTGTTTTAGTTTATTCTTTATATTTTGCTCGCTACCTAAACTACTGTGGTTAAGACATAGTTGCCCGACTTTTCTCATTACGAAAGAATTTTTAATGTGAACTTGATTTATGCTCCAGCTTATTTGCGAAAAAGAAAACAATTGAAGAATTTGATCGCGTTTGACAATTGAAATGTTACAAAAGAGCTAATTTTACCAAAACAAATTAGAATCTTCGAAATTAGAAATAAACATTGCGCATATTCTTTTTACACGGGCTCAAATCAAAAAGAAACCGTTAGCGGTGGTCTCTATAAAAATAGAATGTTATTAGAAAAATAACTACAATAAAAAAAAACTTAAATGAAGGCTGGATCACAGTTCAAAGAACGCGTTTGAACATCTAAGAAATCGTTTCAATGAATACATACAATTTATACATATTTGCATGGACAAAAATAAAAACAACATTTTAAAGTATTTCTATGGATGCTAGTATATACTCATTCGTATATATGTACGTTCGTATTGCAACTACTATGTATTCGGCAATCGGTGATTTTATTAAAATAATGTTTTTATTTTTGGCAATCCTATCGTCTCTAAACTGCAATTGCATTGTGTTAAATATAATTCTAGCTGGAATACTTTTGTAAGGTTCTCTTTTGCATGTATGTATTTTCATGTATTAGATATAAAAAGGAAAGAAAACAAAAAGTTGCCACGAACATCTGTGATGAAGTATATCGCCGTTGTGATATATCAAGTGGCCATCAGCATCATCTTTTATGACGGGCTTTGCTGTCTGTGTGTGAGTGAGTTAAGTGAGCGGATCGTAACAGAATGCACCAAGTTCGATATTCGGTGGGAGCAGATTATTGGTAACGTCAGCAAGTGTTTGGGCAGTGGTTATTTATTGGTGGTGGTGGTGGTGGTGGCGTTGTTGACCGTCGATAGTTGGCAACGTTGTTATGGTGGCGTGATTGATTTGTTGATACAATTTGAGCTCGTTCGTTGGTGGTGTATGGTAGAGTAAACGAAGTCCGCAGGAGTTGCAAGAGAGGTCGATTGATTGATTCATTGGTAGACGGTTGATTGGTTGGCCGATTCGCAAAACGATACAGTGTTCAGTCGTGGATAAACATACATGTGAGAAAGAGAGAAAAAGAAAAAAGAAACAGAGAAAAAAAGAAAAAAATTCACCGTCCCGTAGAAAGACAGAGGTATACGTGCATAAGTGCATACGCCATTAGAATGCCGTTGCCACCATTGAGAACAATACAGTTGACATGAAGCAGCAGTGAAGGAAACATTCGTCCATCATCATAGAACAGAGTTTTTTACATAGTGAACATCATCCCACGTGGACACCACATTATCCAAACGCCGTTTAAGTATTATCATCACCATTCATCACAGATCATCGATGCCATTAGCATCCGGAAATATGTCAACACCACCAAATCGTTAATTTCATCATCATCATTATCAATAAGTCATCATCATTATCATCATCAACATCAAGTCGTTCATCATACCCACATCAAGTGATTTTCATCATCATCATCATAATCAGAAAAAAACACGAGAAAAATACGTATCGTTTTTTCGGTAAGAAAATAGTTCGGACAAATTTTTGATTTGGTGTTTTTATTTTTATTGTTTTTTTTTTTTGCATTTTTTAAATTACAAAAAACATATTTTTCATTCTATGTGTTTAGTATAAATATTCATGTATATTACAAACGTTAAGAAACGTATTAAGTTAGTTTTAATGCAAACACAACAATAAATGAAAATTAACTCAAACTTATCACGAAAGAGATCTTGCATTAGTTAAAACAAAAAAAGAAAATGTATTCATTTTTATAGAGTGTTTAAAAAAGTAGTAAATCTTTGCAAAGTGAAGAGTTAATCAGTTTCAATGTGAGGATAATGGAATATATATCCATTACTAGAATACTCGTATATCTGGTACTGGATATATATAATATCAACATATGTTAAATATAGTAGATATAATGATATATAATATAATATATATATATATATATATAAATATATGTATATGTATAAGAAACATTTCCATTTTCAAAGCAACCTATAGCTCTCCTGTCAAACTTATGTAATTTTTGAAAATTAAACGATAAATATAAATAACTAAAGAGTTCTTATATGGTTCAAATGTCATGTCGTTTAAATATACGCATACCCATGAATAACTTTCGGGTCCACCCACATAATTGCAATATGCTGAATTAGAAATGTTTAAGATTGTAAAATTTCAAATACATACATATGTACGTACAAACGTATACTCCTCTCTAGTGTCCCACAATATATGATCTTTGCGACTACAACACACACAAAATATGAATAGCAAGCGAAATAAATATGAAAAAGTGAATGTGTAATTTAGTATGAATCAATTAGTATATAAAAACTGCACCAACAATACTACATATCAAATTTAGACGATAGTCAGATTGGCCAACCAGTTTTGTTCCCTTAAGTGTACACTTTTACCACTACTACTACTTTTTGAAGGAAAAGCATTAATTACTTTTGTTATTGTAGAAAACTGCTTTCAGACTTGTCAACCCCTAAGTAGTCACCTTAAGTGGTTCGCTTTTTATTTTTTGTCTAATTTGATTGGAATATTCACTCCCTTTGTACATACATGGGCGCACACTCGGAGTGTAAAGCGTCGGTAGATTAAGCAATAAAATAGACATATGCACACGCATGTAATTACAGCACTATGCAGAAGTTTGCAGCAGCCAAGCAAGCAAGCACACAAACAAGCAACAGCGGACGCCATAGCAGAACAACAAAGTTGAAAACTTGGAATGCTATCGTTCTAATGAATATCAATTCACACAAATTACAATCTACAATTAGCTTACAAAGGCTGAGAGGGTTTTTGGAAAGCGCGATCTCTGGAAGAGTGCCGCGCTTGTGGCGCTCTTTGACAACATGTGTTGATGTTGTTGATATTGGTGTAGTTGTTGCTGCTGATGCTGCTGGTAAGCATGCATCTGCTGGCGTTGATAAGCCGAAGATGACGACGAGAAGCCAGCGGTTGCTCCTGTACGGCGACTACCGGCAGCGCTAGATCCCCCAGCACCGCCATATGAATAGTATGGATCGAATAGGTATGACGATTTGTAGGAATCGGCTAAAACATTCTTGTGCTGCTGATAACGACTACTGCTGCTGTCTTCAGTCGGACTTATGGCGTCTAAATCAGCCAATAGCGCAGCGGTGCGCGAAGACGTAAGCGGTTGGTAGCGTTGTGAGCGTCCAGCAGCCAGACGTTCACTAATGCCACCAAACGCCAAAGCCCCAGAGCTCGATGAGTGCATAAGACCGTTCGATTTGAAGCTGCTGCCAACGGTTGTTCTATACTTAGAGAGGTCATTATTAGTACGATCTGCATGTAGTGCGGTAACACTGGAGCCAGAAGCAGACGTCGAATTTGGTGTACTGGCATAGTTTGATTTGGACGCCGACTCTTTGGATGTACTGATATTTGTGGGTGCAGTGACTATGGCATCGTCGTGAGATTCTTTAACTGCAGTTGTTGTAGATATAATATTGGTATTAGTTGATGTGGTTATAGCTTTATCTCCCTGACTACTGCTATCGGATTCTTCAGAGCTACTTTCCGAAGAACTGTTACTATCGGTAATTGGACTAGCAACTTTTTTGCGATGGCGTGCTGTCTTCTGTGTTGTTGTAGCATTCGATGTTTTCTCTTCATTGGTGACATTGGCTTCATGCTTTGAACTATTCTCCTCAGCCATTTGAGTTTCAGCTTCCTTCTCACTTTTTTTTGACAACTTTATTTTCTCAGCTGCCGCAGCAGCAGCATCTTCTTGAGCATAACGTAACACTCGCTCCTGTAGCTCTTTGCGTCTACGCATACGTTCTTCAAATTTGCGCGCTTCCAAATACTGATTATCTTCTTTTAGAAGCAGTAGGATCGCGGCATTATCTGCAGACGAGCGCTCATCGTTGAGTATCTCACGATCTTCATCGGTGAGTTCTTCCCTCCGTGTTGGCAAACGTTGTGGCATATTATTATCTCTGCGTCGATGTGCAAACCGATTTCGTGAATTCGGCACGCCATAATCTTCGCAATCTGGACGGAAAGAAGCACGTACGCTAGATGTTGTTTCAATAGCGGATGGCAATAGATTTTCCGAGGTTTTATTTCGACCGTAGCCACGAGGCCTGCTTCGGGAACCGTCGACGCCACCTCCGCCGCCATAATCATCGTACACATCACGGCTTCTGTAGCTCCGTGCATTGTAACCGGCGGCATATTCTGCACCGCGACCGCAACGGCTAGAGCCTGGCGCATATCCCATCGCACCACCCGCCTTTAGCGCTTCGTAGTTCTCTAAATGGTGTCGCGGCATTTCATAATTTCGCCGATATCTACTTCCACTATAATCTAGTGGATAATTTTCGTCGAGACGCGTCGTCTGTTCGCTGCGCGTACTGCCATTGGTACTCGTTACATAACCGCTATCGTTCGAGTCCCCCAAATACCGATTAGTCTTATTTCGACCGAGGCGATAAGGTGTACGTTCCTTCCGATCGACCGCATTAAAGGAACCTGCAGATAATTTTGGCCGTCCAGCGCCCAACAGCTGATGCGAAGTCGCTGATTTGGACAGAGGATTTCGGTTCTCATCGGGCTCGAGTGTTTTATCACGATCGTCCTCCTGATGCCTATGACGATCTAGGATATCCGAATATTTGTTTTCGAGACGGGAGATGGCTGAAAGCTTGCTGGTACCACTTGCGGTGGGAGTTTTGTCTTTGTCGCTGTCTTTTCTCTATGTACGCAGAGAGGAAGTAATTACGATTATTTCTTTTTCTGTCATTGTGATTTTGTGATAAACCGTTACGTTTGTATTTTGAAAATAGCAAATTGAGTATAAATCGTCGCCAAAATTGAAAAGGGTAATAAACCTTATGTAAAACAATAATATCAAATATTTTACAAATTGTTAAGTATTTGTATGAATATTTAAATTAGTCGGTAAGTCCAATTAGGCTCACACTAGATTAGCCGGTACGTAATACAAATACATACAAGTATATTGCCTAATTTTCACGTATGGCCGGACACATCAAAACAAAAAATGCCAATATGTATGTATGCATGTATCACGTATGTAAATAAAAAAAATATCATTTCTCAACACAACAGGTACCCATGAACAAATGTCGTGTCTTATGTAGTTAAGAACAGCCGCGGCCAATATAATGTTCCCCAATCGACCTTCAGAATATATATGTAAATTCATGAAATACGCATACATTATGTATGCAGCCCCTACACAAATACACATATATTGAATTCAAGCGAATTAACAGAAATAAGATTGCGATCAATGTGTGTGTGTAAAATAACCTAACACACATGCGCCACACCACCTCAGACCTCAGTGAGGTGAGGGGTTAGTGTATATATGACCTTATCAAAGTATTTATCTAAGTTGGTGCATACACCTCATATCTATCCTTCCTCAAGCAAATGTTTGCGGGACAGCGGTGCGTGAGAACAAAAACAAGCAGATATCGAGGAAAGCTGCTTGAGTGCAGATAAATAATTTTCCTACATCGATCACAAATTGTGCAAACATATACAAAGAGATTACCTTAATCGCTCCGTACATTCAACGATAAATACAAATTTGTTCGCAGTATCTCGATAGGTTGTTCTCCCAGTCCCCAGATGATATCTCATTATAAATCCCTTACTATTTTTTTAGAACTAAAGAGTGGACA